ATATATATTTATGTTTGTTCTTATAACCTAACTTTCCCCACAAGGATGAATAACGTGCAGTTTTCTTTGTAGCTCTAAATAGTTATTTTACAATCCCTTTTTGTCTTTATTCCTTTCAGGCGACGAATGAGTCTCCATCCCCAACGGGAGCAGAAGACAAAGACCTACTCATCCCCTCCAAGGCCGGGAAAGACAACGCTGTGACGTCACCGGAAGAAGACACGGGGTCATCAGCTGACGTCAGCCAGGAGTCACGTGAACTACAGACTTCCGACTCGTCAGCATCCAAGATGGCTGCTGGCGAGGCCACGCCTGGCGGTAGTGACGTAGAGGACAAGGATACAGAGACTCAGCCAGAAGACGACAACGAGACAGACAATGAGGATAGTAACTCCGAGAATTCCGCGCAACAACAACAACCGGAGGTGGATAAAAGTTCTTCGTCTGATGCCGGGGAACTTTCAGGTGATCTTGTGGGGAAACGAGATGTGTCTGGTCTCGTCGATGACAAGCGATTTCTTCGAGGATTCAACCAGTTTGCTCGGCGAAGCGGCGTTGATGCCGTTCCGTCTGACGTAGACAAACGGTTTATGAGGGGATTCGGGAAGCGGTTCATGCGAGGATTTCGATCGGACAACGACGGGGAAGCGGAGAAACGATTCATGAGGGGTCTCCGTGATTCACTGTCAGCCAGCTCGCCAAACGACGAGAGCGATTCTTTTTGGAAATGGGATAGCTACTTAAACGTCCCCAACCACATGGATAACCTTCTACCTTTGGACTTTTCGACGCCAGACAGTGGACCCGGGGCAGACAAGCGTTTTATGAGGGGTTTCAGGAATTATGTGACATCTGGAGAGGACGAGAAGCGATTCATGCGCGGCTTCCACAAAAAAGACCCCATTCTGGCTGGAGATATATCGGATGTGGACCTGGCAGAAGACAAACGGTTTCTTCGAGGCTTGAACAACTACGCTAAAAAAGATTCCCTGGATGTCGACGGGATATCAGACTCAGCTGACAAGCATTTCATGCCCGGGTTGATAAAAAATTCGTCGTCATCGTCGTCTGATAATGTCGAAACGTCTCCGGATAAGAGGTTTATCCACGGATTACAGCTGTATTCTAGAAGTTATGGCGGACTCGGCGACTCCCCGGTTGAGGAAAAGCGCTTTATGAGGGGATTTGGTAAAAAGAACGAAGTTTATTCGGATGAAGAAGACTTACAAACGGTAGCAGATAAACGATTCATGCGTGGTTTCAACAAACGATTCATGCGAGGTTTCGGGGGTAAACGATTCATGAGAGGGTTCAATAAAAGATTTATAATGGGCCTGAACAACTACGCAGATAAACGTTTCATGCGAGGGTTCCAAAAGAAAGAGGATGCGTTTTCTGAAAGCGACGACGAAATTGTTGACGATAAACGGTTCATGAGGGGTTTTGGGAAAAGGGAACTGGTGGAAGGTAATGACGACGAAAAAAGATTTATGAGGGGGTTTGGGAAAAGGGATTTAATCGGAGACGATACAGATGAGAAAAGATTCATGCGAGGGTTTGGGAAAAGAGAATTGGTGGAAAGTCTAGGAGGAGAGGATAAACGGTTTATGAGGGGTTTTGGAAAGAGGGAACCCGTTGATGATGTTACTGATGATAAAAGATTTATGAGGGGTTTTGGAAAGAGGGAACCCGTTGATGATGTTACTGATGATAAAAGGTTTATGAGGGGTTTTGGAAAGAGGGAACCAGTTGAGGATGTTACTGATGATAAAAGATTTATGAGGGGTTTTGGAAAGAGGGAACCCGTTGATGATGTTACTGATGATAAAAGGTTTATGAGGGGTTTTGGAAAGAGGGAACCAGTTGATGATGTTACTGATGATAAAAGATTTATGAGGGGTTTTGGAAAGAGGGAACCCGTTGATGATGTTACTGATGATAAAAGGTTTATGAGGGGTTTTGGAAAGAGGGAACCCGTTGATGATGTTACTGATGATAAAAGGTTTATGAGGGGTTTTGGAAAGAGGGAACCAATTGATGATGTTACTGATGATAAAAGGTTTATGCGAGGTTTTGGGAAAAGACTTCCAACTGAAGACGATACAGAAGAGAAAAGATTTATGAGGGGATTTGGGAAAAGACTCCCAACTGCAGAGACTGAAAACGATACAGAAGAGAAAAGATTTATGAGGGGATTTGGGAAAAGACTCCCAACTGAAGACGACACAGAAGAGAAAAGATTTATGAGGGGATTTGGGAAAAGACTCCCAACTGCAGAGACTGAAAACGATACAGAAGAGAAAAGATTTATGAGGGGATTTGGGAAAAGACTCCCAACTGAAGACGACACAGACGAGAAAAGATTTATGAGGGGATTTGGGAAAAGACTCCCAACTGCAGAGACTGAAAACGATACAGAAGAGAAAAGATTTATGAGGGGATTTGGGAAAAGACTGCCAACTGAAGACGATACAGATGAGAAACGATTCATGAGGGGTTTCCAGGGGAAAAGGTTTATGCGTGGGTTCCAAAAAAAAGCTGACGAAATTAACGAACTGGAGAAAAAGTTCATGAGGGGTTTTAATAAGAGAAGTGCTGGGGAGCACCAGAGGACAAAGAGGGAGGTTCGATATGCCGATGTGGATGAAGGCGATTTAGTGGAAAAACTCTTAGAACAAGACCTATTCGGTGAACCCAAATCAGAGAAAACGGAGCTGTGGTATGACGAACCAATAATTTACCCAGGTGAAGTCAACAACGAGAAACGATTCATGAGAGGGTTTTCTAACTATGCCAAGCGAGGTGGATCAAGCCTTGGAGCTAATTTCGAAGTGGGAGATGATATTGTCAATGATGGGCCTGTCAATAAACGGTTTATGAGGGGATTCCAGAACTTTGTAAACATGGCCAGAAGAAGATACTCGTATCCTCGTGAAGGCGATTCTCAAGATAAAAGGTTCATGCGAGGTCTGTCTGCCTACAAACGTGGTGCAGGAGGGGACTCGTTAGACGAGGACATCAGCAAACGTTTTATCAAGGGGTTAGAGAGATACGCTCTGCCAGCCTCTAAGAGATTCATGCGCGGTTTACAAAACTGGCAGAAACGAAACTCCCTCGAGGGTTCGGGTGCGGACAAGCGATTTATCCGGGGGTTACATTTGTACCATAAACGAGGAGGCGACATGTCTTCTGTGGACAAGCGCTTTATGAGAGGGTTAAATTTGTACGCAAAGAGGTATCTGGGATGGGACATACCGGATTCTAAAAATAGATTTCCTGCCTCAAGCGTTTCAGTTGAACCTGTCCTAGAGGTGAGCCAGGAAGATGGGCCCTCGTCGGTGTGGGAGGGAGAATACGATCAGCCGAAGAGAGATTATATGTTCACATCAAGTTTGGGGAATTCCTCACCAAAATCTGGTTCAAGGCAGTTCATGAGTTGGAGGGGCGGAGACTACGTGCTTGGCTGACATGACAAATTATCACAGCTCCTTTCAGTTGACGTGTTGAATAACCTGAGTGTAACATGCAAGACAAAGATAGCGGTAAAACTAAGGGGAACATGATAGTGTGATAGTTTATATCATTTTTTTCCTTTCCGATAATATGTTTACAACGTTGTTGTTTTGTTTTTTTTTCTTATTGCTATTTAACGGACTTTTGATACTGCGTTCTAACGTGTTGGTTTTTTTTAAAGCAAAGCGTATATTCTAGCTTCTGGTGCTACTGAGTCAAAATCTGTTTCGCTTGTCTTGCGTTTCAAAACCTCTCAGTTTTCTGTCTCTGAGAATTGTCCCTGTTTTTTTTTTTTTTGTTTTTTGTTGTTGTTATATAAAATATCAATCTCTTATTTCACCAGTGTTTCAGGCTCCTATCTGAAAGTTTAAACTTAATGTTATTGCTCTCTATCTACTCTCGATCGAGCAATGTCCAAAAAACGTGAAATTCTATGGCAAACTATATATTCTAAAACAAAATTATACAATATTTGCGTGTTCGTTGTTTTCTCGTTTATCCAGCTTAATTGTGATGAATTAAAGAGGCTTCAGATTAAGTCAATTATAATGTAGGCTTTACATGTGTTCTCTTTTATGCCAGATGTGAAGGTTTTAAATGTTCGTTATATAGTATAAAGAGCAAGGCCTGCAAACTTTTGTGTCTTTCATGATAATGCATTGGGTCGAGACTACTCTAGTATTTTATTCACTTGAGAATAATTCAAAATAGTGCATCAAGAAAGGCACGGAACTGTTTTCTTCATCTGTATTGGACAGGGTCTCCAGCATTGTCTTGTTCCTTAATCAACGAAACACAAGCAAATAAAAAGAATGAAAGAAACAGACAATTCAAACAAATTGGAGAACAATTAAGATAATATACTTTTCTATCTAAATACCATTATGCTTAAGTCGAAGATACAATTAATACAAACCCATGATATTCCCGTATCTCACATTGACTTGTAAATGATATCAAACTGATCATTAGAAAAAAAGATAACTGTGGTATCAAGCTTGTCTAGACTGCGCTGACGACAAAAATCAATGCTCATTTTTTAAAAGTCCATGTAGACCAATTGTGTCACAACTTGGTGGAATCAGGCGCTTGTCAGTTTTTTGGACTTGTGGAGTTATTGGTATCATCTTATAGCTTGTTCAGTTGTTTTGCTATATGTGAAAGAAAATGCCCATCTATCTTGAATAGAAGTCTAGATATCTGAGATGGAAGAAGGTAGGGTCGCCTGGTTTCAAAGGTAGAAGTAGCGAGAAAATGGCCTCCAAAGTTTGGTTATTTCTATAGCTAGTTAGTCCGTGGAAACTGAAAACTTACATTTTGTGTGGCTTTAATCAACGTTTTTCAGTGAAACACACCCAGAAATGTGTACTTAATTGGACAACAGTGACGCAAGTCAAAAAAACAAAAATTCCACAAAAAACTGCCAAACTGTCTGAAAAATGTCAGTTTCTTCAATTTCATTAACTTGACTAGCACCTAATTTCACTACGCCTCACGAAAATTAATCCCTCCTTGGGATGCCTCATCATGAGAACGCTCTCAGGACCACGCCCCCTCGAAGGAGCCAGGTTAAATAACGTCATTTCCGTCCCCGAGAAGTAGAGTTAACTCTGGACTGAAATATTCCCTGTCCTGTCGCCAAACCCCTCCCTGCTATACACACATAGATACACTCACTCACACGTAAACAAATTCACACAGACACCTACTCACTCGCACACATACACTCACACACATTGACATACTCATAAACGCACACACATACACAGTTACACGTACACACATACTATACACAAGCATGCATACACTCACACAAACACACTCACACACTCACACACGTCATACGCACGCACGTCATACACACACGCACTCACACACAGAGAAAAACACACAGGTACACTCACAAACACACACACACACACACACACACACACACACACACACACAGTAACAAACACGTGTCCCCGCCTGTCAACCGTAACAAGGTATACATAATTTACTATCTAGTCCCATTGTTAAGCCCGGGTTCATCGTTTGGAACTGTTTCCCCTTGGGGATAGCCCAGAATTGTGTTTGCCTTTTGGAATGATTTTCCCCTCTGGTAGTTGCGGAAAAATAGAAGAAGGCGGAGAGGGGGGGGGGTTGGTGGGGCGTGGGGGTGTTAAAGCTGGTATCAAAGTATCAGAAAGCTCACTGAGGAGATTCAAAATAAAAACCAATTGAGCAGACGTTAGCAAATGCCACCCCCCCGACCCACCAGGCGTAGATGGGTAGTGGGGGTGTTAAAGCTTGTATCAAAATATCAGAAAGCTCATTGAGGAGGTTTAAAATAAAAACCAATTGGGCAGACGTTAGCAAATGCCACCCCCCTCCCCCGCCCATCTTTTCTTTTCTTTTCCTAAGTCACCCCCACCCCTTTTTTTTCTTTTTCTCAGTAAGCTCCTCCTCCCCCAATCATTCTC